ACCTACTTTCGGTTTTCTCGTTACTCAATTCGTTTCTAATGAGTCTTTTTCGTGTGGCTATTTTGCGTCCAGCCAGGCGCAAGCATATGCGTGCTCGTATTAGGGCATGGTCAGAGTCAAGGCAGGTACTCCAGAATGAACGACAATCTTCCATTGACCCTCTCCAACGATGACTGATGGCAATATGGTCTATTTGAGTCCATCGTTGGTTTGGTGCAGAGGGTCGCCATGTTAGACGATGTCTCTCCTTATGCTTAAAATTTGTGTTTGCTAAAAATAAACGATTGTCTGAGCACAGTTGCAGCAGACGATCACCATTATCTGTTCGCTGTGCCGGAATACTAAAATACCCACCTAAATGTCTTTCTGTTTCGTTTAAGCTACCTACCTGGGCATCAAAGTCACCTCCTACGAGTACTATGTCTGAACGTTTAGCTTTCTGAAGAAGTTCAAACAGCTTTCTGTAAAATTCATCTTTCACTTCATCCGAACTGCAGTCAGTGGGAGCGTAGGCAGAAACGACGAAAAGGCAACGACGTGTGTCCCTATCCTTCCGAGTTCTTACGGAGCCGTTTAGCCGAACAGCGCATAGACGACTGTTTACGGGGATCCACTCTAATAGCGCTCGTTCCACCCTCATGCTTAGTGCTATGCCTACACCCGCAAGTCCACGAGAACTAGCCGTCAGGTCGCCATATACACGGAGGGTGTATCTCGTCGGCTCTCCGTTTTGCCGAGGTGAGGTCAAGTGAATGACCACACTAGGATCCTGTATGCGTGTTTCGGAGACACAGCATACATCAATGGTACGAGATTCTAAGGTTTTAGCCAAGGAAGCCTGTTGACCGATTCGGCATAGTGTGTGTACGTTGAAGGCTCCAATGTGTAGTTTGGAGCGAGGTTTCAGTAGACCTGGGACAGTGTTTTGAGCACTAGAATCGTTGGCTGTGGAGACACTTGAGGAGGAAGCCAAAAGAGGAAGTTTAGTGTAGAAAGTAGATGTAGGAGGAATAATAGGAATTGAAGAGGGAGGTTGGCATCTGCCACTATTCTCCGTATTTCTGGCTCTACTGCTGTGGAGGCAATGATTATATCCTCTGATCTAGGATGCTGAACTCCGATAGTATTTGTCGACTGATACTTGATATTGAAATCATAACTCAGGAGCATTGTTGCCCAGCGCTGTAGTCTATTAGCCGAATAGACAGGGATTCCTTTCTAAGAACCAAAGAATGCAATCAAAGGTTTGTGATCTGTCAGTAGAGCAAATGCACGACCATAGAGCATTTTATGAAATCTTTTTACAGCGAAAGTGATTGCAAGAGCTTCCTTTTCAATTTGACTGTAGTTTCGCTCGGCTGAGGTATGTGATCTAGCAGCATGGGCAATTGTCTTTTCTGATTTGTCCGGAAACACGTGAGATATCACTGCTCCAACTCCATGACTAGAGGCATCAGATGCAACAACAATTCCCAAGCTGGGATCGAAGTGTGTCAAAAGAATCTTTGAGCTGAGCATTGATTTGACTCTGTCAAAAGATGCTTGACATTCTGCTGACCACTGCCAAGATTTATCTTTTGATAGTAATTCATTCAGGGGACCTCTCACTCGATGCATTTCAGGCAAGAATGTGCTGTAATGACTGATTAACCCCAAGAAGGATCTTAATGAAGAGACATCAGTTGGTGCAGGCATCTTCTGAATGGCTTCGATGTTGACAAGGTCTGGTCGGCGACCGTTCTTGTCTAAGATAAAACCAAGGTATTTGATGGAATGCATAAAGAAGATACACTTTTCATCACGTAGTTGGAAACCATATTCCAACACTCGGTTAAGGACTTGATGTAGTAGATCAGAAAGTTGATTGTCAGTTGAACCCATAACTATGATATCATCTAGATAAACTGCTGTACCAAGTATACCTGTTAGCATCGTATCCACTGTTTGCTGAAAGATGGCAGGTGCGGTTTTGATGCCAAATGGTAGACGGGTGTATTGAAATAACCCTCAATGAGTGTTAACGGTTAGAAGCTCTCTACTGTCCTCATCTACTTCCACTTGTAGATAAGCATCGAAGTCTATTTTCGCGAAACATGTCCCACCATTAAGTTTGGCAAACAGGTCTTCAGGAACTGGTAACGGATATTGATACATATCTAATGCAGCATTTAAACCGATCGAGAGATCGGCACATATGCGTATAGTTCCATTGGCCTTCTTGATCACTATGATCGGTGAGGCCCATGTAGAGTAGTTGACTGGTTGGATTACACCAGCCTGTTGCAAGCGATTAAGTTCCTGATCGACCAGCTCAAGAGCAGCATATGGTACAGGACGTCTCGGAAGAAAAATAGGTTTGGCATCTGGTTTCAATGGTAAGTGAGCTTTCATCTTGATACAGCGGTCAAGGCTATTCTGAAAAACAGAAGCAAACTTTCTTTTCAGTTTTTCTAGTAACCTTTCACTTGTCTTCTTTGCAAGTACTGGGATGTCTAATGATGAACACGATAGGTTGCAGACACTGTTTATCGGTACATCCATTATTCCAAGTTTATCTAACATATCTAGACCAAGAAGAACAAGGTTTGGTCGTTCTGTTACGTAACATGTTCCTGTACAGTTAGTTCCATTGAAGGAAAATTCGCACTGTAACTCACCAACTAGCTTTAGCACACCACCTGATGCGTTTTTAGCCATTTTTTTACATGGTTTCATTCGCGCTTTACTCAGCAAGTTATACGTTTCTCTAGACACTAAGGTGATATGTGATGCTGTGTCAATTTGAAGACGAGCTGATATGTCATTTATCTGGATGGTAACATACTTTCTTCGAATTTCATAGTTTGTTTGAAAGGCAGCTACCAGAGAAAGAGATTTAGACTCGGATGATTTCATATGTCGAGAACGTTTATGCTTCTTTTTGGGATGAGACGTACGATTCGGTGGACAATGACCTTCTTTATGCACACCTGACATATGTGCTTCTTAAATGGACAGAAACGTACATAATGCCAATCATCACATAACCAGCATGCAGTCGTTGGTTTGTTACGAGTTGTTGTTGGCTTCTGAACTTTTAACCTAGTACTAACATTGACACTACTGCAGGTTAAATTAGGATTTACCTGTTCAATCAACTCGTTGTCGTGTCTGATACTTTGTAGCCGCTTACACTCATCTGTTAATGTTCTGAGTGTGACGTTTGGGTCTTGATCCAGTCGAGTCAAAAGTCTAGTCCTGATCTCAGCATCTTGTGATAACTAAAGAGCTTTGATGAATATTAAGCATTTAAATTGGTCTTCTGTCAACGAGCGTAACTTGAACCGTTCACATTCTCTGTTGACGATGTCTGCTAAAACACCATATTCATCGGCTTCGCGTCTCACCAAATTTAGACACTGATGTCGAATACTAAATAATGAGGAGGATTCACCGAATATCTCTGACAATTGAATTACCGTCTCCTCGAAACTGAACTCTCGAGGTAACTTTGGCAATATATGGTCAGCATAGCGTTCATTAATTCCCAACTTACGTACCAATAATCGAGTCTTCCACGCGTCGTCTTGGTTACAGAATTTTATTCTAAATATATCTTCCCGACGTTTGAACCACGTGAGAAAAGTATTTCCGCTTTCGGGATCATAGATGAATTCTGGGATGCTGCTAGAAACTGCATCACAAGACGTACTTGAAATAGCATGGGAACTCGTGCAGTGGATGTTAAGCTGTTGAGTGAGAGTCTCCAACAACCGCATTTGCGCATCTAATTGTGCTTGCTGTTGTTGTAGTATTCGGTTGAGCTGATCATCTGATCTGGACATCTTGAGTTTATTTTCCTTTTTCCTCGTCGCTACTGTTATATTTCTCTCTTACGGTTATAACCGTATGACGATGATCTAATATTTGGTGGAGGGTGAAGATATGATCAATGCATCCTTGACCAGAACGAAAACCAACCTGCTCCTCGCGAGTCAATCTTTCTCGGGTTTTGAACAATCTACGAAGTATGTACCCCCAAATGCCCTGGTACGGCTGAGAGTGAGGAGAGTCAGCTCTCCCTCTCCAAATGCTCTCAAATTGCCATGCGTATACATCCACTGCCAGGGGAGTCCTAATCATTGCCTTCTCGTGGTAGGAGGGTTATTTACGAAATTGACAGGACGAGAAGCGAATGTCCGGCGCTTTAACCAGGTTGGTGGACACGGAGTCCACCTAGGGGAGTTGGAAAACTAGGATTCCAAACGATTGGTGCACATGGGCTCCAGTACCCTGAGGGAAAATGGCGTACGAACCAATTATCGGTCACCGGCTACCATGGGACTGCATCTCCTCACGATGCTCTACTGCCTTGTCGATCAGACCTTTAGGTCAAAGGCTCGGGGTGTGGCCCCCTAAGAAAACCACCTACTTCGGCTTGGGAACCCGGGCAGTATCACAACCCTCACATAAATAAAATGAGATTTGTGTGGTGAATATATACCTGGTGACCCCTTGTGTTCAAATAAATAAATAATAAATGATTTAGTCAAAAGGTCGAAATATGGGACTTGCTTGGAGAAGACTTAATCCTTAATGTTAGTTCGAAAGCGCAGTAGAAGTCGATATGGATTGAATCATGGTGAAGCGGGTAACTATGAAAAGCAAAAGATTAAAAGGTCAAATAAATAACGATACATAAGTGTCTGTAATAGAGGAGACTATAATTTGTGGATGAACCAATGGAAGTAGAGGTATTATGCCTAAGATTTTTACGCGGAGTTTATTCATCCACATGTTTAAGTGGGACTTCAGGAAAATAGTTTATGTCTGTTCTTGATGAAAACCCTTGTTCCATTTCCTAACCTAAACCAATTGATTTAAGGTTGATCGCAATACGTCCATCAGTCACGTAGATATGAGCGCTTAAGAACCATTCTCCTTTATTTTTGAAGAGGACATTTTTAAAATTAGTCTTTTTGAACAAAGTTAAGGTGTCCGAAAAATATGGAATAACTGACCTCAAGGGCAAGTTTGACGCGTGCACTCAGATGTGACCTAGAAATTCGTTCCAAAATCCAATATCTCTGTCCTGCTGGCTTAAACTAGATGCTTTTTTAGGCATGCTCCTTCATGTTACGATACATTGCTAAATATTCGTTATCATTCGTTGAGGTTAATTTAAACAGTTTATTGTAGCAATCGTAGTAAGTTTGGCGGATTTTATTTGGATTGCATATGTCACGTGTACCATCTTGAACCGTTGTCCGACAGATACAAAAAGCAGACAAAGCACTTGTTGCCATTCTGAGCGCCCTCCACATTTCTGTCTTTATGACTTGAGAAAAAGACGTGAGAAATGTAAGCGTATGCTTAAGTACAATTTCGCTTTCATATGATGTCAATCTTGAGAAACAACAATCACACGCGTACAAACACTATGTGATAGCTATAAAGTGTACACAAAGTAATATCAAAATCTTTTGTGAGAGGCAAACAAAATACACATGAATAGAAATGTTACAGCTGTACAAACCTTTTGTTTTTTCTGTTTTTGATACAAAAATATCGAAAAAACCCACCAAATAGCTGTAGGAGACAAAAACTTATGACATGCTCTGTATACTGTGGTCGTTCAGATGTCTTTGAAACATTACAGTTCCTCCAGAGCGTTCGTCTTATGCTGGTCATCAGATATCAATGAAAATTCGCCATGGTATTCAACTATCGATGGTTGGATCTCAGTCATGAATATTGTGTCGCTTGATTTTTTCATGTGAAATTTAGCATAGACGAGGTTTCCTTTTATGAAGAAGGCCTTAAACCAATCGATGTTCGTGTAAACTTTGGTTCCATTCCTATCGATAACATAGTACCTAGGTTAGCTACGAAGAGCTCCGTAAGGTCCTTCAGATGCAGTTACGAAGGGTCGGCGTAATGAGTAGCGATTTACGGAAACCTGATTACGAAGCCGTAAAGTGGGTTGTGATAAAATATCAGTGGCATGCGTCCGAGAAAAACACAGGTTCAACTGAACTCATCGCTTTCGTGATTGCAGCGGCATTCGGCCCTAACCACACAATTATCAGAGCTGAATACGAGACAACTGGGAAAATAGAGAATCAACATTTAACGCGAAGAAAAACCCAACGATGAAGAAGGCGGGAAGAATAGATAAATTCATTCGAAATTCAAGTTCATCGGATGACATGGCTCGACCTTGCAGGCGTGGTCACTCTTGAGTGTTGTTATATCTTTTATTCATATTAAATATATTGTTCCACTTCTAGCCTAGGTTTGCTCTCCATCATATATTGATGGTTGTTACAACACGATGAATCAGGGTAGACGATGATATGACATCTACGTAAGATTTTATAGATCAAACAGTCACATCATAACAAATTTGCAATTTTAGGATTGGGTCCATTATTAGAGTAGTAATAATATTGAAGTAGACCATAATTCTACATGATCACATCGCTATCAAACATTAACAAGGGTTATCTACTGCATGTGATCTAAAGAACAGTCATTCCTTATATCAAGCTCTTTTAGGGATGAAGTTTAAGAGAACGAAAGTCTCATGGAGGTATGAAATTATATTTTTCAACAATTGAGGCTTTTTCTCGACAAAACAAACCTTGATATTGGGGGTTCTGATGATCTCCAGAATCCGATCGACAAAGGTGGCCGGTTCATTTACGCCGTCGTTGAGCTTGAATAGAGAGAGTTGTTGAAAAAGGATTTCATTAAAGGTATGTGACCAATGATCCTTTTCATATGTAACAAAATATTTATCACGAAGCCAGGTTTAAATTTGATATCGCACAATGGGTGGTGTTGTAAAATAATGGGCTTCTTTGATATTAGTACACTTATTTTTGCTTCTGCTATAATAAACCTAATCCTAAAATTTTAGAAATTTCATGATGTGACTGTCCAATCAATAAGACGTTATGTGGGAGCCACATTATTGTCTACACTGACTCGTCATATCATATGGATCAGCAATATAACGTCTAGCACTTGTAAAGAACACATTTGGGCCGGATAGATAGTTATATATTCATTACAAAATGCAACAGGTTTTACGTAGAATGATCAGACCTACATAGCCGGGTCATGCTATTTCGATCAACTGTTCCAGCCTTCACTATCACCGACCTCCTCCAAGCGTTATATGTTGAACGTCAATCTTCTCAGTAATTATGTGTCCAGCTTCCATTAAATTAGTGATTTTTGACGTATCGCTACACGTTGTCCCCTTAGTATTAAAAGTTCGGTTTACAACGTATCATTCAACACTGTGTGGTTTGGATTATGTACAAGCTTCAGTTAAGGGATAGATAAACACATTCTCACGAATAAACTTGAGCTTTGTGACTGAATGCGATTGTAGCTAAAATCATTCGTGATAACTGAGCGAAGTTCTATGTGCTTAACAATAGATATTTGTAAGGTTCCTTCGTGTGCACTTGTATGTATGGTTATGATCGAAGAACAACCCTCATTTTTCTTCTTGAGTGCAACATTACTTTTCAAAGCCGTTCATCTTTGTGAACTATTTTTAACCGTTGGTATACGGTAAGGCTTTTGTTCATATTCACCTTCAAATGAGCCTATTCAATCATATTATTTCATACTTTAGCATTTCCTTGCTGGTAGCAGTTTTGTCGCAGTTGACACTTTGTTTCGGCTTCAAACATAACGGTTCACTCTTCTTGACTGTCCAGTCAACGTCCATACAGATAATCGTCCAGAATTCTAGGATTAATGTGCTTTACATCGATTATCTTTGTTACGTTGGCTTCCAACATACCAGCCTCTCAAAGGCTGTTCATGAGCAATTGCAATTAATACTCTACGGACAGAACGAATCATGAAAATTTAAGTCCATCTGCAGTGACTAAAAACCGGATTACTGAAATATCAGCCGCTTTCATTCTCGGGCACGTTAATATGCATACGCTCATTTTTTGAATTCAGAGGACAATTTTTAAACTTGAGATCAGCTCCTATCATGTTCGATTTATTTTGATTAAACATATCTTTGTATAACTTACCATATTGAAGAGTTTATTGGAGACTTTACGTCACTTGCAAATGTACAGGTCTCATTTTCAGGCAAATAAATACACAACCATGAAGTTAACCCAAGCCTCTCGCTCGCCATTAATTGTTGAATATGACACGGATTCGTATTTGTGCAACAGATATGAATTCGTGTCACCTTTCTCGTGTTTAAAGCACTCCTTAATCTCAGAAATTGAGTTCAAGCTGTTTTTCTTACAAGTGACAAACCGGCATATCCTTTTGGCTTATGAGTATGCTGTGAAGCGAAATAAAAAATTGTGTGATTCAAGGATAATATGAAAGAATGTTTCTTGCCTCTGACCTAGAAATTACTTGAAGCCAAACACCACTACACAACAATCCGTCTAACATCAAAGTTTTATCTCCCATTATGCGTAGTTCACCATTTTCATTCGGTAAATAGTTTCGGACATCAGAAATATTTTATTCTATTTTCTAAACTTCATAGTTTGAGAAAATAATTTCTGATATAAGCGATCCAGATGTAGCTCTTCAACTCTGCGCGCATTCACTATCAAGGATAAATCAATCCTCCTGCAGAATGTTATTGGTAGATATCATTCATATATGACTTTGAAGATGTCACACGTTTTCGAAGTTTGACAACGCTTTAACCAGTAACACCTTGTAATATGAAGCGCACACACCAAGTGAAATCAAAAGAGAGAAGCGAGGAGATCGAAGATATATTTGATAAGCTATCAATATATCGAGGATCGTCTGAACTAATCTTTTTAGCGATTGTGACAGATGTTAAGCACGGCGTTCCCACACGTGATCTGGTGCGGATGCTTGACCGAGCGCCTTCAGCTAGATGAGTCCACTAAAACTGTGGTCAGCATCCAATGTCGAAAACTTACAGAGCTATTTATTTACGGCTACAACCCATTGAGTATGCTTTCTGATCTAAAGTTAGCTGACCGAGGTTCTAACTACTCACAAACCTCTATATACCAAAATAATATTTAGCTCGTTCTAGTATTCAAGACAAACTTTATCATAGTATTCAGCCCTAAGTATCAGAACACCGATTGTAGGTAAGTCCTTATCTTTATTCAGTTGATATAATTTAAATACATGTGATTTTATGTACACGAATTATTAGATTGCAAAATAGCCTGAATAAAGGACATTAATTTGTGGACAATCACGCCTTAGTTGCTAAAGAATAAATTAGTAGCAAATGAGCTTGACAGAATCCTTCAATGTATGGAATTCAAGAATAAAATATTCCAGTTATTTCATAATTATTAGATCAAAACGTATGCAGTATTAATCCATAAAGGGTTTTCAAAAGTTATAACATTCTCGGTAACATGTTTCACATAAGATTTCGCTGAAAAGGACTTTTCAAATCCTGAGAACACCTTGTAATCTGTAGCGGGATCTTTGATAGAGTCATGCGGTAAAATTTCTTGGGACACTTATTAGCCCCATTGATTTTAACTACATGTAGTGACGTAATCTCTGAGTGCTCTCCCACCAGTCATACTTATGTCTTCTCGTTATGTGGGAAAAACGTATGACGTGTTGAATCCTTCTGTGTAAATATATATTGTTTTTTGCCAAGTGAAGTGATACTGAACTCTAGTCGAGTTGAAAGCATTTTTATCTTTGGAGATTTACAACCGGTTGTTGGATGATTGATGATAAATGATGATGGTCAGTAGATGCTAATTCGAGTTGATTAATGTATAGCATAACGTGCTGATACTGTATAATTATGGTCTACTATGATATTAGCACTGCTCTAATAATGGACCTAATCCTAAAATTGTTGGATTGTTATGATGTAACTGCCTAATCTATAAGATCTTACGTGGAAGTCACATCATCATCTACACCAACTAACTGTGTCGTAACAATTACCAATACATGATATAGAACAATCTTCGGCTAGAGATGGAACAATATATTTAATATGAATAAAAGATATAACGTAACATTTATTGGGGACTATGCATACATGGCCGAGCCATGCCATACGATCAACTCCGATTTATTCAAATTATTATCCCCGCCTTCTCCATTCTTCTGTATTTCTCCGCGTTAAATGTTGAATGCCTATTTCCCAATATTGTCTCGTGGTAGTGCCTAATGCCACTAC